GAGACCATCAACCCAGCTGAGGTATTGCCTTCTGCTCTCTAGGTGCATGTTCGCCATCTTTTGCCAGCTCCTTAGGGCTGGTGGAGCACCTGGCCCTCCCCGTCCCCTTGGCATGTTGGCTTCCATGAGGTGCTTAGTTTATAGTCTTTGGTGCTTGTACTCATACTTGTGTCTTTATGACCTCTGCAGCTTTCACAGCCTGCTGCTGTCCCAAAAGGGGGGAATTTGGGTCAATTTTGGGACCTGTTCCCAGCGCTCAGGGTGGCAGCAGGATTACAGCTGTGAGTGAGGGGACTGGCTGTTCTGTGCTGGCTGCTGCCTGGGCTGACTGATGGCAGCAGCAGGATGAGCCATCCCTCGTCAGATTCACTTTCTGAAGTGAAGGCCTCTGTAGTTTAAAACCTCTGATTTATCAAGGGAACAAACAAACAGGTCATGCGCAAGGGCTCAGAAACACTCAAATGTAGTAGAAGCTGCATGAGCCTCATCGGAGCAATCAGTGAAAGGTGCTACTGGACTCTTTAAACTGTTTCATAGGTGATGGCTGCTGCCACTGAGTCCACAAGCTTTGAGGAGGAACAGCTTCCTAGTAAGAGAGAAACTATGACGTGGAAGCCCAGAAAAGGTAAGCCTAAAATACTAGGATAACACCAAGCAGACTGTGAGTAATGAAACTTACACTCTGCTTGAGGAAATATGCTTAAAATTCTTTGATGATGCATGGGAAATACTTCTTTAGTTACTGCAGTGAATTATTTCCATGTAGATGTTTGCGTAAGCCTAGGTGCAAGAGTAATTAATACTACCAAAAAAAAAACCCCAGCTTTTTTTTTTTTTGTAAACTAGAGCTGTGTTTTTTTCAACACACCTATTTTTAAAAAATACTAACAGGTGAATGTGGTGAAACAAGACTTCTAGGTCCATGCCCCAGTTTAAAGAGTTATTTTTCAACAAGAGTCTGTGGAAAATCCTAACTTGGGCTAGTGTTTTGATGCAAGCCTATGTCCAGTGTTCCCAAGCATTTGAGGCCTGAAGTAGCACTGTAGTGGTATTACATGTGTAAGGAATTGCGTATATTATTATTAGATTAATAATCACAAAGTGCATTCATATACCTGGCTGAGTTATTGCATGCTAAGAATGTAATTGCTCCTCTTTAATTCCGAAGTATCTCTATTGGCTCTTTCTTTGGTTTTTAGAATGTTTGCTGGAGAATATTCCGAATGTTCAGAATGAGTCTGGAGAAAGTGAATTCTCTGATAGCTCTCATGATGAAGAGGATGTCAGTAGCTCTTCTGTTGACTGTGTTCATATACTTCCTGACCTAGAAGAGTTGGGTGGTGAAGTCTCCAGTATGCTTGAGGCTGTAACTTTTCAAGAGGTGGAGGACTGGGATAAAGAATTGGAGGAGTCTGAATGTAATCCTTATGGTGAGTACAAATTTACTTGTGCTTCATTTGAGTTGTGGTTAGTATGTGATTGGGGGTAGGTGCTTTTCAGGAGAATGTGTTTAAATAACTCCACGTTCTATTTTGGGAAGCAGCTTTTGTCATTGTCGTCCTCGTGGATTTGTAATGCATAATTTTGTTGTCAGAGGATTTAAAGGCAGTGTTGTGAAGCTCACATGAAACTCTTGCTTGAGCAATTGAATTCTTGGGGAGTGGAATGGTAAGGAGACTTGTATGCGTGTATTGAGTTTCTCTGGAGAAGCTAGGTCCCAGTAGTGTATCTCAGTGAAGCAGAAGAGAAAGGTACATGGAGTGCAGGAATGTAACTTTTTTGTGTAAAAGTTGTTCATTTCCACCAAGAAAATTCATCCAAATTGTACACTGTAATTTCCCTGTAGAGCATGGAGTTCTTTGGAGGGGAGCAGGACAAGCACTCAGTCTCTGAGTATGGTTTGTTGTTGCCTTTGCTGTAGTGTTTGGGGGTTTTTTTGTGGCAGGTTTTTTTGGTTATTTTTGTGGGGTTTGTTTTGTTTTTTGTAATCGGTTTTTTGAAGCTTGAGCCTCTTAAGTGTTTGTGCATGTGATCAGTCCCATGAACAAAGGTGGCAATGGATAGAAGCAGTTTCATCCACATCTTCAGAGTCATATTAATCCTCCAGTTTGTAAACCTTTTTATGGTGACTGACGTGTTGAACTGAGAGTCTCAGTCTTCCATTTGCCAGGCTGTATGTTGGGGCAGAACAAGTGGATGGAGTTGAGCCAGCAGTGGTGACCTGCGTCTTTGTTGAAGCAGAATAGTACCATTTCCATTTTCTTCTTGTTAATATGTATCTTCTGTAATTAATACAAACAATCTTTTCTTTGCTTAGGAAATATCGATTCTCTGTTTATTTTAATTCTGTAAATGGCTGTTGTATTCAAGTTCCATTGTTTAATAACAGAACTAAGTGGGAAAGTTTTTGCAGCCTTCCTATCAAATCATTCTGATTTTAAAATGGAAATACGCTGAGTAATGTGGGAAGATGACTGTTTCCATTTCAGATATTTCCCTCTCTCCCATCCTGGGCTTTCCTTTTAGTCTCTCATCTGCTCAAATTTATGGAATGCTTTGATTTTTTTTTTTTTTTTTTTTACGGGAACTGGTCCCTTCCAACCCCTACTATTCTGTGATTCTGTGATTCTCCTCTTTTCTTTTATTTGACTAACTCATCCTTGCTTGTAGCTTGTGCTCTTCAAATCCTCACAAACTTACTTGAAGGAAGCTGTGATTATAGGATTCAGATACTTGTAAAGCATACTGAGAATGAGTGTCTGAGTTGTTAATTGCTACAAATAAAAAACACATGCTTGTTTTGTCATTTTATATCTTTTTTCAAAACTTTTTAAAAATGATTGGTTTGATGGCTTGTGTTGCAGTGTAACTGGGAAGCTGACACATGGATATACTGTGTTGGGTCCTCTGCTGCCCCAGACTCTGGGGCTTCCATTTGCTCAGTGCTTTCAGTGTCTGCTGGCTAGAAATTTTTTGCTTCTTTGAAAGGACTGTTGCCCTATTTTTCTGCTAGGTTGGTTAAATAACAGGCTTATTAGGCTTAATTCTAGCCTAGTAGAAATGATGTCCAGAACTAGCTGTTACAGGACCCCACCCTTCCATTCTGTCCGGTGATCCAGTTCTTAAAGGGTTTGGAGGGCTTCTGATTGGGATGTGGTTATGGAGACAGCAGGAAGGGGGAGGAGAAACAAAAGTAATGGTTTCATGAGCCTTTTAAGCCTGGAGAAAATGTAGCACAACTGCATGCATTATAAGAGCTGGTGTCGTATGTTCTGAACCACCGAGCTTTTTGGAAAACTGTTTTCTCTCTGTGGCAAGAACCTTCCTTAAAATGAAGACGTTACCAAATTCAGCTTTGTGTTTGCTTTGTTTGTAGGTCTAATTCATGAGTGCTGGCAGATCAAATTGAAATACTTAACTGGAAGATGCTGTAGACCTGCAAAATAATCTGGTACTCTACACCACTAGTTTTCTAAGTACTTCCCATAGTTTAAGTCTTTTCTTTGATCTTTTTTAGATGCTGATGATCTCTACTGTGGAAGCTTTCAGGAAAATAATCTTTTGGCCTCATGCTCACAGCAGGAGGATCTGTTTTACAGCCCATGCTGTCACCATGCAGCTCACCTTAATTTTACACAACCAGTTAGAATGACTGAATTTGGGCAGTTTGATGATGCTGATGAATGAGGTTGACCGTGGTCAGAACTAGGTGTGGCTTCTGAGTTGGATTATGTTCTTCACCAGTTGAGTCATGTCAAGTCCCCTGGTTTGCTTGCAGAGTTCCAAAATGCTACACCATCTCGAAAGTTTTGCTTAGACTGTTTCTGAGCTGTTTATAAATTCACGGTGTTTGACCTCTGAAAATGAGAGTGCGGGTTCTAGCTGTAAGGAGTCAATGCATTTCTTGACTTCTTTTTGTTTGTATTATATAGAACTGTGTTGTTGCTGATCAATTGCTTGAGACAAAGCATTGAATTTCTAAACTTCAGCTTGTTTGCCAGCCTTTGCCAGTTTTGACATGCTGATGCCTGTGTGTCTATGAAACCTGTAGTTTTCTTTCCTTTTCATTTGATGCTGTCAAATTGGTTTGGAGAGCTTTAAAAACTCTTCCTCATTCCAACCTCTCTGTTGTATTATAATGTTGCAGTTTGTGATTCCATATTTAATACTGATGTTTAACAAAATTAGCCATGGCAAATATGGAATGAGTTGTTTTGTTTTTATTTTTATGTATTTCAGTATAAAGGAATTACAAATATGTGATACACATTTTGCAAATACACATATGGACATGGAGTAGGACCTGCTGTATCTGATAGGAGTGCTGGGTGCTTAAGACTGCCTCCCAGCAAAGATTTCACTACATCAGACCTTCTTGTGTATCAGCATTTTATCCTTCAGTCTCACAGTTGTCTTTATAACATTCTCATGTGACATCAGATGTGCAGTGATGCAGAAAATATTCTTGCACAGTGTCTTGCAGTATATAATCTCTGTGTCCTGCGAACAGTAGTGAATTAAAGTTCATGATTCTGTTGATAACGCTCGTTTTGTTGTTTGTGTTTTGGCAAGTGAGAAGATGGGAACACAAAATACCTCCGTAAAGTCTCTTAAGAGAATAGCTCGAACTAGAAGCATATCCTGCTTGCCTTTGCTTTGGGGTTAAAGGAAACGTTCTAAAATGAAATATGTAAGTGCGTTGAACGGCTGGTCACTTGAGTAACAATAATCTTCTGCTAATGCTCATGTTTCATTAATCACCTATCTCTCGAGAACTATTTGATGGTTTTGTGTTTTGACACAGACTGATGCTGAAGCACAGTACCCATGTTTGTTTATTCTCAGGCAAGGAGTCAGCATTTACCACTGGAAGATTTTTTTTTTTTTTAAATCATCCAGTGTATGAGACTGAAGTAATTTACGCATTAGTTTGGAAGGAGGAAGTGAAGAACGTGATGATATTTGTTTAATCTTTTCTTTGAGAGCAGAGAAAGACAAGAGCTTGAAAGAGTCTTTTCTTCTGGTACCTTGAAGTTCCTGGTTACATCTTAGTACCCAGCAAGCAATCAAAGTAAAGAGTGAAAGCCTGGTGTTGAGGTTGCAAGAAAGAGGGCCTGTTCTTTTATTCCTTTATGTTGGAGTGATCTAGAGAGTAGTATTTCCATCAAAACTTACTTTGGCAAGCCTCCAGAACGCATACATGCAGCAGAAAGCACAGCCTAACAGAATTCATTCCCAGCACGGCAAGAAAGCCCTAGCTGTGCTCTCTAAGGCATCGGGCTTGGTTTTTTGTTCTGTGAGCTTCTGTATATCAGAGAGAGAGTGCTGCTCTTTGAGTGCTGCGTTAGTTAGAACATGAGCTTGACTCTGTGGAATGGACGTGAGAATTGGTTGTGCCCAGTTTGTCAGGTTTGGATGATTAGTGGCTTCTTTCTCTAACTGAGAAATCAGGAATGAAACTGTGAGCATGACTATAACTGACTCATCAACTGGAGTAAAATTGTTGATTTGCATGTATAAATGCAATATTAATAAATATAAATTGAGTACGGATTACTGTTGAAGTAACAATATGCCAGTAAATTGTGAAGGTTCCTCTAAAAAAGCACTGGTTATTTTGTGAGTCTGTTCACCGCTTCCCTGGCTTCGGCCGTCGATGGCAATGCTACCCTGCAGAGGGCAGCAAGAAATTGTCTACCCTGCCCAGCGTATTTTCATCTGGTGCCGAGTTTCATCAGCAAGTGTCAGATCCACGGGCTGGATTTCTAAAATTGACAGCGGTTTAGATCTGTGTTCTGCATAGTCCTGTTCCCTAGTGAGGCTGTTTCATAGCCCTGATTAGTTTCTCGGGTTTTTTTTATTTCACTCTGAAGTTATACTTACTGGACTGAAAAATTTCTCCCATGGCTGAGAAAAGAACATCACTTCACTTCGAGCTTAATATATTTTTATACTACGCTTGTGGGAGATATCCCACTGTATTTAATGAAGATGAAACTAACAGAATTCTGTGGAAGCAAACCCACCTTTTTTAGAATTGTTTTAAAAGGATAACCAAAAAGCCTTTATAACATCAATTAAGATGATTTTCTTTCTGTGTGGTTCCAAAATTTTGTCAGTACTGAAGTCTTCAAGCCATTTTCTATGCACCCTATAAATCAAGTTTGTTTTTTCAGCCTGTACCTTTAATTGCAATCAACCTTGTGTATCTGGACTGTCTTGTTATTTGAGGAGAAATTGTCTTGAATGGCCTCCTTGCTGAGCTGTTCGTTTTTTAAATGATTGTAAACCTATAAGATTTGTTTTCAGTTTCCCTTTAAGGTTAAAACTGACACCACCCGTACCAGCTTTGGAAAAAATGGCATGAGGATTTTACAGCAGACATGCATTGCACTCTCTGAATATTGGCAAATGTAACTTCATTTGTCTTGGCCTTGCTTTTTAGGGAAGGACCTTAATGTAAAGCTTGATCTGAATACTCTCAAACTTCAGTGGGATTAGAAGACCAGATGCAGACTTCTCAGAAAGTGTCTCCCTGGAAGGATTTGAAACCAGGCTCACGGATTCCAGTGTTTCAGCACTACGGAGCGTTTCAAATTCCATTGTGAATCTTGCACTGAGCCTGTTTTGTGTTGACACAAGCGTGTCATTCTAGGCAAGAATACACTGCAATTAAAAACAACATAAGGTAACACGTGAGCCAACAATTCAAGCCAAGATCGTCAGCCCTTCAGCCTGCTCAAATTATCGGAGGGAAAAGAGTCATATTACAGTACCAAGATCATAAATATTTTATGCATATGAGAAACACATTGGCAGTACATAAATAACTCAGAAAATTCATCAGAAGTGTCAAAGATTTCTCAGTTAAATGCACATACATCTCTAACAAGATTTCCCCCTTGTATACCCCTAGTATAAGATAACATTCAAAGGATGGAAGGCTCTACTGCAGGTTAATATGCTTGCTGGGTTTATATTGTGGGGGAGGTTTAGTAATGTGGCATAATATGGTGACTCAGAAGGAGACCTGGATACAACTTGGAAGATGCTCTTGCTTTTCTTCTCATTTCCCCATTTTACAGGTAGAGATAATCATACCAGCCTGTTCGTGAAGTACGTGAAATTCTCTGATCAAGAAGGTTTGTCTAAATAGTGAGGTGTTTTAAAAAAAAAAAAAACAAACCCCAGACTTTTGCGTTTTCTTTCAACGGGCCAGCAAAGAAATGAAAACTTGTTTTGGGTGCATCTGTTGTTTCCTTTGAGACCTACAGCGAATGATTTGCAAGAGGAAATAATTGAAGGAAATGTCTTCATGTTTCCTGTTGATAAGGTACAGAATTTAATTCATACATCAGATTGAGATAGTGGTTTCTTGTTCTTATATAACCACAAAATCCATCCCATTTTAGTGTCTTTTAAAGACACTTCTGCTTGACTTGGTGCTTTGTCCCATCTTTTAACTAGTGTGCTCTTGTAAGCTAAGAAAACACATCCACTGTTGAAGGGACTGTGGGTAGTTTCACTGACTAAAGGAAAAATGCTGATGGCAGCAGCTCATCCTGACCATCTGTTGCTTCCAAGGACACCAGTGTAAATCCCATTGTAACAAAGGTCATTTTGTGAAGCTAGTGGGTAAATTTCTGTAGGTATGGCGAAGGAACTTGTGATACATACCCACTGTGGTTCTGTATTGCAAACCTTGGTGTCAGAGGCTCGAGTATTAGAGGATAAAATTGTGGTGGAGCTGTTAGTCCTGGAAATATCAGCTGCTCATAGCATAGCTTCCTAGCTTGGCAGAAGAAACTAACCTACTGAAAAAAGCTGCAAAGCATACAACCCTAATAATTGGTTTTAGTGATGGAAGCAGCTTCCTTTTAAGCATTTGGAATAGACCCTCAGCTGGTATGAACTGTTGCAGCTCATTACCCCAGCAGAAGCTCTGTCCCTGTGTATCCCCCTGAGCAATGCCTCTGAGCTAAAGCTCATGTTCAGTGTTATACTATTGCTGTGGATTTTAGTTCTTAATATAATGGGCTTTCTTTACATTCCTTGTAACTCCATTGATCTTCATAGAGCAAAAAAACATGAATGTGACTCAATGTCTATATTCGTTTATTTGCAGGTTGGTTTTGGGGTTTTTTTGGGTCCTGTCTCTGCCCTGAGGATAGCTAATTTCAGGACATGTAGCTGAAATTGGCCTAGAAAGGTTAACTTTTTATAATTCAGTGAGTCTTGATACTCTGGCCTGAATTATTTTAATCAAACCTTTTCTACCTGCCTGCAACTTCTGCATTTAGACCTGGAAAATCTTTTCATTGTATGATGCAGGAGTTTAAGACTGAGTTCTATACGCAAGTTGTTTGTGTTTGTTTATGAGCCTGAGGTCTCAGTTTATTGGTGTATTTCCCTCAAAGGGAAATACCAGTTAATTTTGCACAGTCCTTTCTGAGCTGCTGGTCCTTAGTAAAATTTACGTTGAGCAACACATTTTCTATGAGACCTGGAGTACCAGGGAATGCCATGTTCTCATTGTGCTGCTTTGCCGTTTTAATCAGTGCAGGTATTGTGGAGTCTTGTTCTGACATTAAGCAAGTTATGTAGTGTTTCTATCTCTACCTCGGAAATACTCAAGAACTTTCACATTCTCCCTGAGGAGTTCCTTCAGAAAATATTTTGTCTTTTTT